TCTGGAGTCAATTTGAGCTCCTGAAATGTTAATGGAATCCCGAACATTATACCCACACGATGCAATCATAAAAATAGCGTTGAAAGACGTTACGTGATGAGAAAACTGATTAATTGGGTAAAAGAGGAGTAAGTTAGTGGCAGGTATGAATGAAGAAATAACTAACTGAATCACTTGATGCCTTAGCAGGATCCCAGAAGTATGCTGTAGGAACTCATATTTTATCTTTCTCATTGCACCGGTCAATCTTTGTTCCAGGTCACCAGACCTATTTTTTCACTGTCTTGTTAGTTTTCATCATTTAGCCGCCACATGATCCTCAAACCTGACCACAGCAGTTAAAATTGAGCAGAAGGCATCACTGATAAGGTACTCGCGGGTCACACGCCCAACCTTCACGCAAAAACTTGACTCGCGGATTGTCGATCAAGACCATCTAAACCAACTAGTCGGCTCAAATCCTAAAGCGTAATAAGTAGGGGAAAACAAGTGGTTTCCGAGATGGCAGCACCACTAACCCGCCATCTTGCCTTGTTTCGCCATACTACCGCACTTTGGCTACTTTGAGTTTCTGAGTCGCTGCTACAGCGCCTCTCTCCACACCAATCCCTTCTGGATCGTCCCGGTACCTGACTATTTGGCAAACAAAAATTCATCATTTTCCGAATTGCCCTCGGCTAGGCTATACTGTCCCTCATTCTACATAACTAGAACTCACTCAAGAGTTTCTGGACCGTTTTATCAGACACTAACTACACCTTGCCCATAGCTCCACCGTGTGAATACTTTGGTGAGCTACACAACAAATAGCTGACATGCAACATAAGTGATTTATCTGCGCTTAGCGAGAGGCACAAAACAACACGAACCGTCGGTTGAACCTATTGAGATTTGAATGAAGGATTTAGAAAGTCTTTCAAAGAGTATGTGGTGCAAAAAATGTAAGGATCAAGATGGTGGTGCGGATGGGCCTGTACAGTTCAAGTAAACTTTCACGCAGTAGTGCACATGGCAAAAGAATTGGCTAGTAAATGAAAATGCAGTCAAGCAGATGAGTAAGCTGCGCCCCGATACGGGCTAAGCACATAAAACGTCGTTCAACTCAATGTTCCAACAGGCGGAAAAGAACTAGCGAATAATATACTAGAGTAGAAATAAGAGGGCAAGATACAAAGATAATTGCAAACAGCGACCATCCGTATAAAGTGCAAACCGGAGTCAATGCACTAAGTTGACAATCAAAAGCTTCACGCCACAGGCTTAATAGTTAGAAAAAAGCCAAGACAGTATTTAGGAGAAACTAAGAGAATATAAAAAATAAGACTGGTAATACACTGATAGCGAGTGGATTTGATGATGTTCTGGAGAATCACTAAGCACCAGTGGATCCGTATCCGCCTTCGCCTCTGTCAGTTTGATCCAGATGGTCACATTCGAGCAAGTCGGGATACACAATCTTTTCTAGGATTAATTGAGCAATACGGTCGCCTTTGTTGACTTTAAATTCATCACCTCCAAGGTTAAAGAGTAGAATGCCAAGGTTTCCGCGATAGTCCTGGTCAATTACACCAGCTCCGACATCAATACCAAAATTTAAGGCAAGGCCACTTCTGGGAGCAATACGACCATAGCATCCGTCCGGTAGTGCAATCTACCTGTTAAAATAAAGGATGCTTGCTTGAATATCCGTTTTTATTAGGGAACGGCCTCCGGGTTTTATCATGGCATCGTGTGCACTGTATAAGTCGTATCCTGCTGAATAAGCAGAACCCTTAGATGGAGTTGAGGCATTTTGAGTCAATTTATGAAACCTTAGCAAGGATGTGAGGGAGCCAACGCCGCTAGCGACAGACTTAGTGTCCATGCGGAGAGAGGAAAAACAGGACAAAATTGCCGCAACTGTCCTGCAAAAGCAATGTAAATAGCATAAAACAAATATTTTTTATAAAATTAATTCGAATTATTTATACGTCTGCTTTTTATTTTTCAAAGATTTTTTTAAGGCGCTTTTTTTGGTTACACATGTCTCTTGCCTACAAGTTATGACTCTCTTTGTACATTCAAGGTATATCTTCCGATATTCCAATGCTCTCCACCGAGTCTCGACTTTTAATCTATTTTCGAACCATCAATCTCACTTGAATGCGGTATTTAGTCGCTGGGTTGTTTCTGACTCTGATGGAACCCCGATGAAGGATATCCTGAATGGCTCATATATACCTGATCCGCCAACGCCTCTAGAGTCGCAGCTTATTTTAAACTCACTTGGTGAACCTACATTTGCTTCATTAGGGTTAACATCCTATTGGCCTAGTGGTCTGTATCGTTCAGTCTTAGAAGCGGCCCATGTAGATTTCGGCTTGTCTTGGTGGGTGGCCATAATGACGGGTACATTTTTCTTAAGTACTAATTTTCTATATAAGGGACCCTTATCCTGAGATTATTTCTAACCCCTTTGATGATTAGGGAAAGAAAAAACATGGAAAAGATGACAAAGCTCATGCCAAGGGCATCTGAGCTTCAGAGTCAGCTGACTGCAGCTCGTCTGTCTGGGAGCTACACAGAGAGTAATACCAAAATAATTTAGAAAATCTTGTCATTTTTATGAGCGAATATATCATCCAACTGAGGTATTTTTGTTAATTTCAGTGCTGAAGGTGTCAAAAGAGCTAAATGAACTCATAAGTTCTGGCGATATGAACCCTCTTAAACACATGCGAGGCCTCTTTGTTCAGGTACTTTATTGCACCATTAATGCAACAACTTACTTGTGCCCGTAGATTCCTGTGTTTGTTACAATATTTACTGCTATTCGGGGATTGACCAATCTTCCTGTCGAAAGCATGCGAAATGGTGGACTTCTTTGGTTTGTAGATTTAACACAGGCAGATCCATATTACGTACTACCGGCACTAAATATGCTGGTCATGATGTTAATGTTTCATGTATGTCGTACCATACTTTAATTTTATAATTGGGCTAGATGACTTATATATTTTTCCTCATAGATTAGCATGGGTCAGAGACGATCATCGTTGGATATGCGCTACCAAGTTGCATTTCGTATTCTTCCAATCTTTGGATTCTTGTTTACTATGAACTTTCCTTGTGTAAGAGCCCATCATATGTATATGTTTAATAGTTATTATTACTTAATTAAATGCAATCTCTATAAAAATTTCACCGCTAAGAACCAAAGACTTACCTTAGTATATAAAACTGGTATTATAGAAACGAGCTACTCAATAATCGCTGAAGTTAAAAATTTTTGAAATATTAGGTAATGACTACTGTTCTGAAAGCTATCAAGCTCATACTGCCATTTTCCGGCGTTATGCTAGTTCGGAATTTTCAACTACCCACATGAATGCTCAGTTGTGCATGTATCTAGCAAACTCCAAGAATGTTATTTTTGCATACTTTGCATTTATAATTTTATCCGCTGTATTGTTTGTAGAGTTTTATAAATGTCAGTTGATATTCTTCATTAGAAACCTATGAATAGTACCATACGTTGGTAGGGACACATTTTAGGCAAAACTTTGGCCAATTACTCTTAGTATAGTTAATTTTAAAATATTCGTGTAAATTTGGGTCTTAATTATGCAATAGGCAACTATTTTCAGGCTAAAGATCGAGCTTCGTTATGCTGACTTCGAGTTTACTCGTTCTATAAAACCCAGACAACCAAAGCACTCGCCAAATTATATAAACTCAATTAATTTTTACCGCCATTTCAAAAATGACTTAATGACAATGTAACCAACGGTTAAGCAGGAAATTGATCAAAGAAAGGCCTTCATCTGTCACTTATAAATTGCTAAGGATGGCGCCTCTCATTGACTATGCCGGAGAAACATCCAGGAATGTACCAAGCTGACATTCCGATCTTGGAAATCATCATTAATATTATTGCAGAAGACACAGGATTAGGTACCTTCCATATCTTCTTGTCGCTCCGATAAAGTCAAACTATTACTATACAATTCGAAGAGGCTGTTACAAAACGAAAGACCACACTATCTTGGTCTTCATATCTACGAACATAACATTTAGCTTTTTTTGCACTTTTTAAGGCTGGATATAGTCTAAGCTCCATCTCTTTTATGAGCGATTGGTCTTACGAGTGGGATAAATTCTTTAGTACATGTACCACCGTATTTTTATTAATCTGTGTTCTAAATTATGCATACCTTTTGACAGGCCCTGCTTCTACATTGGTCTGTGAGCAACTCAATCGCTCTAACGCAGACTTATCTTTTCAGCCTGGATGCTGTCAGAAAACGATTCAATTATCCAGAAATACCCAAAATGGAATCACGGTCCGCACTTGTTGGTACTAAGAAGGAAGGCTTCATAGAAGGTTTTAAGAAAGGTAGGATGCTTTTAATTTTTGTTTATATCTTTGTTAATGAATGAAACCTTGGTGTGCATACTATTATTATCTGTTAAGGTCACGATTTGGCATTAGTGGTGTAGTGGGATTTCCTTTTTATCTTGTATTACATGCAGTATATGCTCATACTCAGTTACATTTAAATTTATTCGTTGTTTCCATTGTAGTTTCTGAAATGCACCTAAACTTATAAGCTAAAATCCACTTAAATATGATGGTTACTATTTACTATCTACTCCGTTTTATAGATAAAGATGTAATTTGGCCTCATGCAGGAAGTATGAGCAACCTGCATCCGACAAGTTTGATCCCAGGATTAAAGAATTTTATGTTTTTTATTTGAATATTCGCATCTCTGCTATGAGCACATTAAAATGATAGCCGGGGACGGATTAGTGTAGATTACCTGTATTTCTAGGCTATCCCTGCTGTTCATGGACATCACCTGTCTTAATCTTCGTCAAGTTTGGCTGAAACGCTTTTTAAATCAATGCTTAAAAAGCCTACTAGGCCTTTCTCGGCTGGCCTGTTGATTTTATTTTTTTTCTCTTTAATATTTATCACATTTATTTTGTGTTAAATCTTATCAATTCAGTTCTTTCCACATAAATGAAGTGCATTCATTTACCCATTTCACACTTAAGACATGATTGACAAAACTTGCTTTTAATCATATCTCTTTATTATTGATAGTGGCGTGTTGCTAATTTCATGATTTTTATGGGACTTTGTTCGCTGGTTTGATTTCATTCTTAATGACAAGCTTATTATTATTCAAAGAATGCCTTATAACTATTCATTGCGAACTTTTTAGTATGAAACTGAAGATATCAGTAAGAACCTTGCTGCCTTAGGTCGCCTATGGCGATTTTGAGGAATAATTTCATTTTTGCGGAGACTTTCATCTCGAATGAAAGTGCATGATGAAGAGATAGGCGAACTAATGAGGATAAAATAGTTTTTAAAGAAACTCTGACACTTTCTTCGGTTATGCCCTCTTACGGAGAAATATAACCTATTATCAATATCCGGCTGTTGCAAGATTGTGTGCTTCTGTGGATGATCTTATATTGGTTAGACCTGTTGGCATATTCGCCAAAGATCAGTAAAGCACGCGAGTGCCTGTAAAGGCAGTTGGATAGAACAGTCATAGGTGGCTGAGCACAGAGCGGAGCCTAGACGTAAGATAGAATGCTCTCAGATTCATAGGTCTGCTTATTATAATATGTCTGCTACGAAACAAAAGATAATAAAGGTTATTGAATTTAATGAATTAGGAAATACGTTGAATGTAAGGAATGATGGTGGACATTTTAATAAGAATTGTTGAGCTTACTTTCC